TCAGAGCTAATACCTACCAATACTCCTAAAATTATTTCACACAATAGAAGCAGAAGGTTCATTACCAAACTCTTTTTAGGAGGCCACAATTACCTTAGTACCCAAGCCACATAAGACACAACTAAGAAAGAAAACTACAGACCAATATCCCTCATGAACATTAATGTAAAAATACTCAATAAAATACTGGCAAATGGAATCCAAGAACACATCAGAGAAATCATCCACCATGACTAAGTAGGCTTCATACATGGGTTTCAGGGATGGTTCAATATATGAAATCTATCAGCATGATCCACCATATAAACAAACTGAAAAAGAAAACCACATGATCATCTCACTAGATGCTGAAAAAGCCTTTGACAAAATTCAGTACCATTTCATGATAAAGGTCTTGGAGAGATCAGCGACAACAGGAACATACCTAAACATAAAAAAAAAAGCAATATACAGTAAACAAACAGCCAATATAAAACTAAATGGAGAGAAGCTTAAGGCGATTCATCTTAAATCAGGAACAAGACAAGGCTGCCCTCTCTCTCCATATCTCTTCAATATTGTACTTGAAGTTCTAGCTAAAACAATAAGACAACAAAAGGAGATGAAGGGGATACAAATTGGAAAGGAAGAAGTCAAACTGTCACTATTTGCAGATAATATGATAGTTTACATGAGCGACCCAAAAAACTCCACCAGGAAACTCCTACATCTGACAAACACCTTCAGCAAACTAGCAGGATACAAGATAAACTCTATATACTATAAACAGATGACAAAGGGGCTGAGAAAGAAATCAGAGAAACATCACCCTTTATAATAGCCACAAACAACATAAAGTATTTTGGAGTAACACTTACAAAACAAGTGAAAGACCTATATAGCAAGAACTTTGTGTTTTTAAAGGAAGAAATTAAAGAAGACACCAGAAAATGGAAAGATCTCCCATGCTCTTGGATAGGTAGGATAAACAGAGTAAAAATGGCAATCTGGCCAAAAGCAATCTACAGATTCAATGCAATCCCCTTTAAAATCCCAGAACAATTTTTCACTGACCTTGAAAGGATAATAATCAACTTTATATGGAAAAACAAAAGACCCAGGATAGCCAAAACAACCCTATACAATAAAGGAACGTCAGGAGGCATCACCATCCCCGACTTTAAGCTCTACTACAGAGCTATAGTCTTTAAAACAGCCTGGTATTGGCACGAAAACAGACAGGTAGACCATTGGAATCGAATAAAAATTCCTGACATTAACCCACCTATGAACACCTATTTTTGACAAAATAGCTAAAAGTATACAATTGGAGGGGGAAAGCATCTTCAACAAATGCTGCTGGTACAACTGGATGATGGTGTGTAGAAGACTGCAGATAGACCCATGTCTGTTGTCTTGCATAAAACTTAAGTTCAAATGGATCAAAGACCTCAACATAAATCCAGCTACACTGAACCTCTTAGAAGAGAAAGTGGGAGTTAACCTTGAACAAATTGGTACAGGAGACTGCTTCCTGAACATAACTCCAGGAGCACAGATACTGAGATCAACAATTAATAAATGGGACCTCCTCAAACTGAGAAGCTTCTGTAAGGCAAAGGACACAGTTTACATGACCAAATGGCAGCCCACAGACTGGGAAAAGATCTTCACCAATCCTACATCTGACAGAGGGCTGATTGCCTAAATATACAAAGAACCCAAGAAACTAGTCACTAAAACACCAAATAGCCCTATTAAAAATGGGGTACAGAACTGAAGAGAGAATTCTCAATAGAGGAAATCAAAAAAGCTGAAAGACACTTAAGAAAATGCTCAATATCCTTAGCTGTTGGGGAAATGCAAATCAAAACAACTCTGAGATACCATCTTACTCCTGTCAGAATGGCTAAAATTAGAAACACCAATGACAACTTATGCTGGAGAGGATGTGGAGAAAGGGGAACACTCCTCCACTGCTGGTGGGAGTGCAAACTTGTACAGCTATTTTGGAGATCAATACAGTGGTTCCTCAGGAAAATAGGAATCAGTCTACCATAGGACCCAGTGATCCCCCTCTTAGGCATGTACCCAAATGATCCACATCCATGCAACACAGACATATGTTCAACTGTGCTTGTAGTAGCATTATTTGTAATAGCAAGGACCTGGAAGCAACCTAGATGCCCCTCAACTAAAGAATGGATAAAGAAGATGTGGTACATTTACACAATGGAATACTTGGCAGAAAACCAAAAACAAACAAACAAACAAACAAAAAAACCTACAACAGTGGAATCTTGAAATTTCCAGGCAAATGGATGGAACTTGAAGAAACCATCCTGAATGAGGTAACCCAGTCACAAAAAGAGGAACATGGTATGTACTCACTCATATATGCATTTTAGACATAGAGCAAAGGACCATCAGCCTATAATTCATACCACCAGAGAAACTAGGAATCAAGCAGGATTCTAAGAGATTCATACAAGGTTCCTCACAGAAGGGGAAAAGGACAAGATCTCCTGAGCATATTGAGCATATTGGGAGTTGAGGGGGGACAGTGAGTGGACCAGGAGCTAGGAGAAAGAGAAGGGGAGGAGTGGAAAGCAGTGGGACTGGGAAGATTGAGTCAGGAGAGGAATAGATGCGGGGGGAGGGGAGAATAAAAGAGGGAGCCATTATAGGTTTGAAGTAAAACCTGACTCTAGAGAAATGGCCAGAGACCTACAAAATTGACCCCACCTAACAATGTGAGCAACAGTGGAAAGGCTACCATCTCTGCCCTTCCCTGATAATGAGATCAATGACTAACTTATCCACCATCATGCAGCCCTCATCTAGTAGCTGATGGAAACAGAAGCAGACATCCACAACTAAACACTGAGCTGAATTGGAATCCAGATGCAGAGAGGAAGGACAAGACCAGACTACAGAAACACATAGAGACAGCTGACCTGAACAAGGAGGAGCCAAGGGCCCTCCCCCCCCCCCCGCAGACTGATAGCTGGGAATCCAGCATGGGACTGACTCAGACCCCTTGAATATGGGACATCTGACAGTGGAACCAGGTTGCAGAGAGGGAACTGGGATTGATATGTAAAATAAGTAAAATAAATAAAGAAAAATTAAAAAAGAAATCAGCCGTTAGTGACTAAGAGAAGGAAAACAGGTATAATTTTTTTTAAAGAAAAATAAATTGAAAAGGTCATATTTTAGTGATGTTTTGAGCAAACTTGAAAGGGAAGAAGCAGATAGACAAATTGAGCCTCATATCATGTCTTTCTGAATATCTGAGAATGGAAAATTTGCAGAGCGAAGACCACGTGCTATGAAATTTCCATAGAAATAGTGAATCATTTGCTATCAAGATATGTAGTAAGGCTGGATTAATTCAGTAGAGTTTAATTAATTTCTGAAGTATTTTGTAACTCTTGGAACAACTGTGCTTTCTTTTATTTCCCAAACTCCTAAAGAGGATTAATCTTCCTATCTCCCACTGTGGCTGTGCAGAGGCAAGGGTATGGAATAGAGCAGTCTGTAAGTCAGATACAAGCAAGGTTTCTGTTGCCTGGGACAGAGATCCTAGCAGTAGAGCAATGCCCCCCCCCCCCACGAAAGACTCTGGTCCCTCATTCGGTTCATCTTTCACACATGTCCAAATTTGTCTTAACAGAATCATCGTCACTAGCTGGGACATGATGCCTAGGTGGGCGGGGGATTCCCCGTGTTGTTTCAGTCATAGTTGTCTTTGAGTTTGGCTGGCATGTTCATGATTAGTTTACTAACAATTGGTTTTTTTTCTTCTTATGCCATATGCTATTCCATGATTCATCAGCTTTGAGTCTGTTGCCTTGAAGGTGAAACAATTTCTTCCAATGTTGATATTTCAAAATCTCATAGATAACAAGCACACACATATGCAGAGTCCTTTCAGAAGTTTGAAACATTTGGAGATGAATGAATTACGCCTGCTACAAATGGGAAGGAGTGCTGTAAAATTCTAACAATTCTAACCAGCCATCTTCTGTGAACAGCTGCTGGACACTGACCCTGTTTTTCCTTGTGAAATCATTGATTACATATGACTTTAAAATTTTTAACAGTTTACCTAATTGCCTTGCTATATATTTCTTTTAATGATTTTGGTTATAAAATCTTTATTTGGGTGAGGCAGTGGTGGTGCACGCCTTTGATCCCAGCACTCGGGAGGCAGGCAGATATCTGTGAGTTCAAGGCCAGCTGATATACAGATCCAGTTCCAGTACACAGAGAAACCCTGTCTTGAAAGATAGATAGATAGATAGATAGATAGATAGATAGATAGATAGATAGATATAGATAGATACAGATCTTTATTTCTGGAAGTGAATAGGGCTTAAGTTTCAGATTAGCTATTTATATTGTAATCATTGCTTCTTTGTGGATCCAGTGAACAGCAACGATGATCTAAACATTAAGACGACATAGTCTTTAAGTTTCTGATATGAAGTTTAACCTTTTAGTGTTTGAATACAACACTTTTTTTAATATATATATATATATATATTATTTAATTTTATATAACAAAGTCCAATTAAATGAAAACAAACATTTATACACAATATTTGGGAATTTGGGCGTCGTTCTTTCCAAACTACTTCCTGTTGGTAAGGGGCGCTGTCTTGGGGGATTCGAAGAAGATTCAGATATCCTAGCTGTTGAATAAAACACTTTACATTTTCTTAGTACACAACAAAACCGTTCTTTGTGCATAGGCACCTGCTAAGCATTTAGGTGTCTGGTAAGCATGGGTCACATTAAGTTTCTGCCGACTGTTTTCAATAGTGCACTTGGTGCATTGCAGCATTACCTGCTGGTCTCATTCTCAGAATGCTGATGGCTTTTTCACAGTAGAACAACTGTAATTTCATGGTTTGAATGCATGTGAGAGTATCATGTGAGTTCTACGCTTGGAAAGAGATTTTTCAAAGATTCTAATTTTCATCTTTTCTTCTTCTCTCCCCCTTATCTGGTTTCAGCTCCTCTTTGGTTCAGGTGTGCTGGTGTCCCTAAGCCTTTCCGGGCCTCAGCTGGAGAAAGTGGTGATTGACAGAAGCCTGGTGGGGAAGCTCATCTCAGACACCATCAGTGATGGTAATTACACCTGTGTGCAAATCAACTGCCTACATTAACAGAGGGGCAGGAAAAATACTTTGTCAACAGGTAGACTAATTATTACCACTGGGGACTTGCAAACACAACAAGTAATTGCTTGTAATAGCATACTTACAACCCCTGGGACCAATAACAGGCTTCAACTAATATTTAATGTCCATGTACTTTTCTTTTTAAGTGTCAGGTTCAGAGTCTAAGTACTTTCCAATCTTTCCTTTACATTTTTAAATATAATTTTAAAGTAAGCTTTTATCATTCATAAAAATAATTTCTCTTTTATTGATAATTCAAAAATTTCCAAATGAATTATGCATAAATAATACAAATATGCCAAGACAGGCACTAGTGAAATACCCCAAGTGCTTTGCTTCCTATGTGAAGCCGAGTTGTTACTTGTTAATGAATACTAGATTCTGAATAATGTGGGGTTATACTTTATAAATAGCAAAAGCCAATGCACATACACTGGGGAAGGCCAGATCTATTAAATGACAGTACTGTGTATGGTTGGTATAAAGTACATTCAAAAGATTTTAAGCCATTTATTGAGTAGGTAGGTTACTAATATTTATTGAGCCATAAAGGTTCCATCGTATTTAATTCAAGAAAGGGACTATAGAAGATATGGTTATTTTCATTCTAGTAGATAAGGAAAGTGAAGCTGAGCTACTCATGGTAATGGTAAGGGTTCTGTAGTCAGGAAGTGGCTGAGCTGACATCTGAACACAAGTTCTGACCTATTTTCTTTCTGCTGTACTATGCTGACTCTGGATTTTAAGATTCTGTTCCTTTATTTGGAGTAAAAAACAATCTAAAAACAGGCCACATTACCATGAAAGATTAAAAGCAGTATCCAAAATTGAATAACAAAGGAAGATGTGTTCTAGCAGAGAGCCCTTTCTGCTATTGCACCACTCCGTGCTTTTGAGGGCAGTCTGGCATATCTGCAAACCTTAAAGAAAGTACTCTGCAGGATGGCTACAATTAGCAACACCAACAGGTGGAGGTAGGATTGTGGGCCTGCCACTTCCTCCATCATGTATTGGTGTGATGCCAAGGGAGCTTCTCTGTGGAGGTGGTCTCTGTTCCTGCTCTCATTACACCCTTCATTGACTTTGCAACTAGCATTGACTATGATGGTTCCTCATATTCATGTTCTTCTCTTAGACTGAGCAGGGAACACTCTTCTGTCTGAGGTGCCTTATTTCACACTATCATGGGACTCCATAGCAATGTGGTTTCTTGGCAGTTCTCCAAGTGATTGTGCATACCCTCCATAGGTCACTGCATGTGCATCCAGAGGTGCATGGAGAAAAGGGTAGACAATGTTCAGTAATTTCTTTTTACTTTTTTTTTTTTTTTTGGCCTACTAGCAATTTAACATGGTAATGATACTTTATATAACCTGTGATGTTCTTTGCCTATTTATATTCTTTAGAAATAAAACTATAGAAATATTTTTGCTGATCTTCATTATTAAATATTAATTTACATAATATATACATTTGAGTGTAGCATACTTTATTTCATCCAGTTTGTAAGTTCTCAAAAGAGGGATTACAGATTTTGTGTGTGTGTGTGTGTGTGTGTGTGTGTGTGGTTTTTTTTAAGACAGGGTTTCACAGTATAGCCCTGGCTGTCCTGGGACTCATTCTGTAAACCATGCTGGCCTCAAACTCACAGATGCATCTGCCTCTACCTCTCCAGTGCTGGGATTAAGGGTGTGTGCCACCACCTCCTGGCTATAGAAGAATTTTAAATAAAAAAATGAAGTTGGTAGAAAAAAATGATCAGTACCAACCCACTTTATTCTCAAATAGCTTATATGAATGTTTGAATGTAGAAATAGTACATAAACACAAATAAAAGTCACTTTTATACCTTGTTTTTTGAGACAAGCTCTTACTATGTGTCCCTGGCTCGTCTCAGACTTTCCCTGTCTCTGCCTTCCAAGTGATGGGATTAAAGGGATGTGCCACCATGCCCAGCCTCTTTATGTGTTTTGAGCTCTGGTTTCCAAATACTTCCTTTGGTGGGTGTTTTTCACATTACTTTATATGGGAATAGTCACTGAAAAAGAGGGGAAAATAACAAATCCATATTATTTTGTTGATGGTTACTGTGTATTTCTACTATTTCTAATATCATTAGATATATGTTAGTAAATTTGATTAATATTTGTTTTCTGACAGTATCTTTTAATAATATTTCAGTTGAAATGTATTGACTTGTTATAACTTTGTTCTAACTTGGGATCATTAAATCCCTATTTTAGCTCTTCTTACAGACAGTTTCATCATCTTATCATTTTTGGCACAAAACAAACTATGTTTTATTCAGTTTACAAAGAAGATGGATTCTCTTGATGCAAATAAGAGATTGGAAAAACTCTCAGCCTTGGATTACAAGGTAGAAATTTCAATGTATATAGTCATATTACTACTGATTAAGGCACACTAGAGCATTGCAAGAGTTAATGTTATGGTTTTTACTTTTGAATATTGGTGAGTTTCAGGAAACCGGAATCTGCCTTTGTACCTTTCCTGTGGTGGAGGCCTAATGCTGGTGTATTTGAGCTTATGGAGGGCAAAGTTAGTGTTCATGTTAATGTTAGTATATACTTCATTTTCCTATTATACTAAGTATCTATATAGCTACTCTGGTTTTTACTCTAAAAAAGGAAAAAAGAAGAAGGGTCTTTCAAAGATTAATAGAAAATATAGGAAGTAATGGGAAAACCCTTACATCCCACATCGGAGGAAATACAAAAAGAAATTTCTTTCAAGTGTGTTAGTCTTTCTTCCTCTGCTAACTCCAGGTAATTTGTTTCCTTGTAGCATGAATTTTACATCTGTTAAGGCAGGATTTTTATTTTAAAATGATATACTTAAAATTTTCCACATTACATTTTAACTGCTGGAAAGGCATACTCTCTGCAAGGGTGAGCATCTAATACATTTTCCAGGCTGTTTCAGTTCAAGGCATCTTTTCAACAATGACTTGTGTTTGCAAGATTGATCCAGCCTCTGTGATGTGGATTTGAGACAGTTCACTGTTCAGTGAGAACAGAGCTGATATACAGCTTTCTTAAAAATAATGCACATACATGTATGCCATCCTTGAATGTCTATAGCAGAGGCAAAACCAGCCCTGTGGCTTGCAATTGGTGTGTGTGCTGTTTTTTGTACCTAACTTCTGCACTTTGGAATTGATATTTATGATGATTTGGGAGTGATAATGACACAGGAAATACATAATTTGTTTAATAGGAACATCTATTTTATAAGAAAGAGTTTAACATGGAAAAAGTTACCTGAAGTATGTTTGTCATTGTGATAATAACATACAATCTGGCTTGTATGTCAGATCTGTGAAGCGCCTATAGGATTTGCAGGATAATGATTTTCTTTACTTGGCAATTTATGATGTTCATGTGTTCTATTTAGTTAGTCAAAAATAAAAGGTTCCCTTTAACATTATTACAGTCGTGTTTCCCCAAATGGTTTACCTAGATTGATTCTAAAATGTTGACTTCTCCTAATGCCGGTTTAAAGTGTTATTAACCAGATTATGTAAAATCCTGTATGACTAGTTCCTTTGTTTCATCTATGATGGGTAACTGAGTGAAAGATGGTCGCTAATGAGAGCTAAGGAAAACTGTGAAAGTGTCAGGTTTTCTTTAAAAAATGTATAAAAAATAGGCCTAGTCTTTATATCTATATGCTTAAATAGAGGAATTAACACATTATTTCTGCCATTAGACTTGGGAAATTATTGTCACTCCACATCATTGTTACATACTTAGAGGACTATGTTTCTTTCTGGAAAGACCATGGATTTCGTTTCTTATTGCAATGTTTGAAACATACAATTAGTGAATGCCACCCTTTACCACCTGGAAGGAGAGTTTAAGAAACTTAACCATTTTCTCTGCTCTCTTGAGCACAGAACACCACAGTAAACAGAAATTTCAAACGACTGATCTGCATTGTTTGAAAACTGAATATGCCAATCACTCATTTTTAACTTGCCTTTATCATTTAGAAATGTGTAACATTCCTTCATGGCAAGCTGGACACCAAAATAAATGTGCATGTGTCTTTAAATATTTAGTGATTATAGTATTTCTCTCAAATAAGAAGGAAGTTGTAATAATTACATCAAAAACTTAGCTATAGGTATTTATACTTAAAAACATAAAGTGCATCTGTGTTTTATCATTGTCCACTTGAATTTTCTTTTCAGTTATACCATGATTTAATTATTTCACACCGAAATAATTTTGACAAGAAGAATTTCAGGGTAAATATCCTGGAAGTGTTGACCTTTAACAAGCTTTCCTGTCCACATTTTAAAAATCCAATTCAGTTTAACAGTTGAGGGACAGTGCAAGGAGTTAAATGTTTACTAGGAGAGAACAACACCAGTAATTACTTTGATTTGAGTTCCTTTTGATGTGTATTCAGAGGATGAAGAGGTCAATAATATTATGGCCATGCAAATAGAAAAGAGTTCCTTTTGACCATGTTGGAAAAAAAATAGCAGAGGATTATTAAAGCATTAACCTTGATTTTAATGGCCTTGGTTGAGTGGTGAGATCACAATTTGGATGAGCCTGATTATTTACTAAATACAATACATAAATGCAACGGGTTCTTAACACCCATTGCACTCTGGCATTATCGCATTACTGCCATCCTTTGTTGCCTTGCAGACAGGAATATGAAAGCAATCTGTCATGTAGTGAGACTGGCTCCAGAAGCATTTCTCTGATAAGAAGACCCCCTGCCCTTTGCTAGTGTCTGGTCCAGTAGGCTTAGCCATGCGCTTAATCCCCAGAAAGTGGTTCGATTATTGCTGACCAGCAATGGCAAGATAGTTTTTTTTCCTTCCAAGCTATCAACCTTCCATTAATTCCTTAAGCAGAAATACGGTGCAATCTATATTTCCTTGGCATGTGTCACCCAGATGGTGCCGTGCTTATGTTTTCAAATAACCATGTTCCAAAATAACATAGTTTGAATAATAAATTCGACAAATCCTTCCTAAGAAAGAGAAGTGTAATTCTCAGAAGCTGCATAAACTTTCACGTACGATGCCATGGCTTATCCCCTTATGCAAATATGTGTGTATACGTCTCATATATTTTTTTAAGAGATATTTGCCTCAGTTGTTTTTTTCTTTTTATTATTGTCAGTCATTGTTACCATGGTATGTCTTAAACAGTAGTGAGACACTCTTGGTCAGCAGTACTGAACTTGTCATTTAATAGAGCTGATCCTAAACTCTAGGTGTAGGTCGCTGCTGTCAGGCAACCATGACTGTACATTTCAGTATTGATTGGAATCTCTACATCAAGTTCCTCCCTAATTCACATTTCTTTTTTTCCTTTCCTCTGCTAAAAATTGGGAGAATTTTGAACATATGTCTTTTTTATATATGTGTCAAAAGAATTTGGTAAATTCTGACACCCTCTTAGGCACATGTTGAAGATGCATGTTTACTCATGGGTATTACATTTACAGATGCTTTGATGTTTTTGGAAATATTCAGATGATTTTACATCCTTTAAAAGAAACATTTTCATGCTTTTTGTTTGTTTGTTTGTTTGTTAACTATTAGATTTCCTATTATGACATACCTGGTCCAGCAAACAGGACACTAGAGCGTCACTTAGCTATCAATTCCATTCAGGATGTAGTTGTTTGCTGGTGGCCGCTGGTCAGTGATGGCGCTTGGCCTTGGACTCCAATCTCTTCTGAGAAGAACAGAGCCAATCTCCTGCTCCTGGGTTTTACTCAAGGAGGACTGCAGGTAAATCTAAAATATTTTAATGAAGTGCAAATAAAATAACATTCCTGGTTTTTCTATTCTGAAATATGTGTGAATATATTTTAAATCTATAATTTATATTTTCAAATATTAAAAAGGAAATTGAATGTAAAATAAGATCCTAAAATTTAATGTAGCTAGAGCATAAGTAGACACTTCCAGGCTGGCTGAAATAGTATAATGATTGAAACCACAGACTTACGGGTTCAAATGTCGATTCTGCCACTACCTCCCTCTCTGCTTGAGTAAGTTACGGGCGTCTAGGTGTTGTAGCTTCATTATTTGAAAAGCAGAGTTAAACTAGTGAAAATAGTCTATACATTATAGCAATACACTTATAATCACTGTTGAGGATTTCATGCCTGGAAAAGCCATGCTACCAGTTACCCTTAAAAAACACCAGTCAAAGGCCTGCTCTGTGAAAGCCGCTGTGATGGCATACCATCAGTTGGGCAAGGAGCTGCAAGGAAGGCTTCAGCACGGCTCTCTCATCTAGGACCTGATTGCTGATGGAGCCCTGGAAAGCGTAGCTCCTTTGGTTACATCAGCATCCTCATTCTGTCTCTTCCCAACAGGGCTGTGGTCATTTACTTATCCACATGCGTGAACCTGTATGTGCTTTCACTTCATTCCTATATCTCTTTTTATAGTTAAAATGAGTTCTCTCCTTTTTAAAGCTTTAGTTTTAACTGGATGAAGTAAGTCTGTTTTAATGTTTTCTTCTAAACCTTCAGACTTGAAGTATTTCTCAAACTAGTGTTCTGGGATGAAATGGATACTTCTGTGTGTTCTCTTTTTTCCACCTACATAAACTCTCAGTCTTTTGAGTTTTGTTTATTTTGGAGACTGGGTTTTGTTATGTATCCTAAAACTCCTGATGCTCCTGCCTCAGCCTCTTGCGTTTTGAGTCTGAAGGAGTATGCTTTAGGCTGCCTTTTAATATTGAAGGGTCCTAGTACTTTATATTTGATATGTATGCATGTCTTCCTTAGGAACTGGACTTTTCCAGTTCTTCTGCAATAAGCTTTCCCAGTTCTGTGTCTGACTTGGGTAGATCGCCTAGTCTAACTGGCCTTAGTTTTCTTATTTTTAAGATAGTAAATTTAACCCAGGTTAGCAGGTATGGGGACTAAAGCACAGATCTGTTTGGTCTTTTCCACTTAAGTCTTTAGTATATGTTGAACCCAAACTCAGCCTGACCCAAACTGATCTTGATTTACCTTCATCGTTGTTTTCTTGTATAAATATACCCTCTGGCCAAATGGTCTGACTCATTATTCCTGTTTCCTGTATGAATGTTGTTTCTACCTGAAGTAACCTGAAGATTTGAGCATGACCTTGCATAGCACAATGTTCCATCCCAGATGGTAGGAATAGGACACTATCTTGCCTTCAAGGACGTTAGTTTTTTTGGCTTTTAACCAGTGAGAGACAAATAGGAAACCAAATAGGAGTGTCGGTTTGCTGTGGGTAGAGTGTATGTAAGCTCTAGTAGGAGCCAACAGGCAGTGATTGATTCTCCTCAGATAGTGGGAAGACTAAAAGGCTTTCCAGTGTGCTCAGAGACAAGGTTGGTACCCACTTTACTTGCTTTTATCATCTGTTCCAGATTTCATTTCAAGCCTTTATTAACACTGGAGTGATTTTGCTAGCCTTTTTCTCCCCTCTGAAACAAAGGGAACTATATAAGCTAGGTTTTGGTAAGTTATTAATTCCATTTTAAAAGAGCTGTGTAAGTTTTTGTGGGGTAATTCTTTTGCCAACTTGTTTTCCATAGTTTTTATGAAAATATCCACTTTATGGAAGCATTTGAATCCATTCTTATACATTTGTGTATGACATGGGAATGTCACTTTTGTGTGCTACTGGAAATCTAACCCAGAGCCTCTGCCATTGTAGGTAAGCAAGAATTCTCCCACTGAGCCACACCCTGAGCCCACACATGATTTTGAGCCACTCACTACTTTTATGTTCTCTTTCACTTCTGGTACTTTATTATATACAACTCACTTTCTTGGCAAGGGCTTTTGCTTTAGCATTTGGCCCTTTCAGTCGCCGCACTATCAAAATTCAACTGTTTAAAAAATTATAAATTTTTTTTTTTTTTGCCAGAAGCTTTTTTGAATTTCACTATGTAAAAGGTAAATAAATGTCTTTAGGGTAAAATACTTGTTTTACTTTTTTGTATGAAGATTTAATCTTTAACTGGAACATTTTTTTAGCATGTCATGAACTAAAGCCACCAGTGGCTGAAAGTAGTGGTCAAGACTGTTCCTTTAGTTTCTTTTTAGACTTTTAAAACAGATCAGCAGAATCATAAGACAATATGCTTTTAAGCACTGAAATTATAACCAAAAAGGGAAAAATCTTCATAGAGAAGAAGTTGAATAATCTTTGAATCTGTTAGACTATAGAATTTTAAAAAAGCATTTCCCATTTAGGCCCCAGCAGAAAAGATAATAACTTTGATTTGGACAGTGGCACAATCCTAGAACAGTGTTCCTACCCCAGTAATACACTGCAGTCACCTGCAGAGCTTCTGAGACTGGGCCGCCTCAAGCCTTCCATCTGAGTCTGTGGTCAGGAGGGGGCATCAGTAATCTGTCTCAGGTTCCCTAGGTGATCTCATGTGCATCCAAGTTGAGACCCACGGCTTTACAGAAAACTTAAAAAAATAGAAACTGAAGCCATCGTTGTTTGCATAACAGACCGTGGAAAGGATAAAGCCCACATACTGAAGCAAATAGGAGTTTTAACAGTAGAGTCTAAGTAGAAAATTGGCTTACCAAGCTGCTTAAAAAAAAAAAAAAAAAAAAAGAAAAGAAAACAAAAGAAATTCTCTGTGACCAAATTATCTGTCTTTCTGAGGGAAAACATTTTAAAATTTATTTTATGGATATTAGAAAATGCCTGGTCCAATTTCACACCACAGAGTTCTAAACAAATAGTGTGTATCTTAATTAGAAGTGTGGAGCAAAAGGAGTTATGTAGTCTGAGAAAAATGGGTGATAAGTAGTGTAGAAAAAGGGACTTTTATCAGTGAATTTATTAAGACCCTATTTTAGGGGCTTGGGAGATGATTCAGTTGCTGTTCAGCCTATAGACTTGAGTTTGATCTGCAGGGCCAAGTAAAAAGCCAGATGTGATCCTAGCACTGGGGAGCTGGAGATGACAGGATCTCAGAGGCTCTCTGTCTGACCTGCCAGCCCATCCTTTGTCAAGCACCACGTCCTAGTTAGAGAGCCTGTCTCAGTGGAGCAAGGTGGATGACTCCTGAGGAATGACACACAGCACAGATCCCCACCTCCCTGGACACACCCACACATGTGCACCTGCACACGCGCGCACACACACACACCCACACAAGCCTGTACATATGTATGTAAACATACTTTCGCAGTTTGTGTGTGGGTTGTCATGTATTATATGGTAACGTCATCACTTACATATTTTACTCCTTATACTTTATTTTGAAAAGATTTTACCATTTTCTTCTGTTGTATACATTCACTTTGACAAGAATGTCATGACAACTTATTCTTCCCTTTTATATTTGCACAGCCGTTTTAGCTTTTTAGACGTGTGAATCTGATACTTCTTTCTGTCTGTGGTGCTAACATCACAGTATCTACTGAGAGACCAACTGAACTTGCTTACCAAAGTAGTCAAGTCACAATTGCAGAATGTTTCAGACCTAGGGAGACTAATCTCACAGATACATGTTTTTCTTATGAGAGGTTTTGTTGTTTGTGTGTATCTGAAACAAGGACTATCCTTGAGCTTCCGGTCGTCTTGCCTCTGCCTTCGACGCTGGGACACAGGCATGCATCACCACCAAATGAAGCAATGTTTTCACAGCAAATTTCAAGAGCAATAACTTATGGGAAAACATTTGTGTCCAGCTATCAATATAGTACAATTTGGTAAAGGAATCCAGAAAATTTACAGATATTTTAAACTGAAAAGCCAAAATATTTATGAACACCATTGATTTATATATTCTCTTTTAGAGAATGTGAGGTTTATATTTTTTAATGCTGGCTTAGTATATATTTATTACAAAATATAATGCACATAAAGCAAACTGCACAAAGTAAATGCATAGCTTAATGTACTATTATAAGCAAACCACCGTTGGAATCAGTGGCCAGGTGGAGAAATAGAACTGTGCAGCACCTCTCTGCGCTCTGTTTTAACTGCTACACCGTACCCCAAGGTAACCACGGCTGTTCACTTCAACCACTTTCTTACTACTTACTCAGCTTTTACTCCCTGTGTGTACATTCCCAGAAAACGGAAAAATGGAACATAATGCCCATTTAAAGTACTTCAGTGAGTATCTTAGTCTACAAGTTCCCATTAGTCCCATTCTTTCCTTAAAATGAATCTATTGCAACCACAGTGTCCATGAACTGGACCTATTTGTATCTGCATGGCAACCTTTAACATGTTTATCTGTCTTCTGACCGTTCCACAGGTTAGTAGTTTTGGTGAGACTCTCAGGAGAAGTTGTCCTTTTATCAGCAGCCACATGTTCATTTGCTTTCTTAGTTGCTCCTGGTTTTTGATGATGATAACAACTATTGATGTTCAGTTCCAAGATGCATTGATTCATTAATGTTACAAATGGTAATTTTCTAATTAGATTATTTCATTTTCATTTATTATTTGGACTTTTTTTTTGTAGTATGACACCTCTGTCAGCCTTATATAATAAGCTGAATAAAAATGTCTCCTTATCGTTTAAGATAATAAACTGATCTTTAATGAAGGTAGTTGATTAAATTTTTAAAATAGTATTATTAATTCATAGAGTCAAACACTATTTTATGTATTCATAAACTGTGACTGTACCCTTCAGAAGCTTAGCTCACTCCATTTTTGGCCAGTAAATGCTTCTTCAGATTGTTCTTTCTTGTTATGATCTCAGCGACCATGGTAGATCTCCAGCTGTCTGATGTGTCAGTGGTTCATGTCCTATC